TATGGAGGAACATTGGGTAGACTACTATCCTGCGTCCATCCCTTCACTAGTAACGTAACACTGAGACCTGAATCTGATTGTAACAGAAAGAGAACGGTGAAAATCCCTCTGCAGCTTCTTTGTTGAACAGTATTTTCATTTATTTGTTCCTTCTCCCTTTTGTGTATTCCAACCTTTGTTTCGATCTCGTTTAACCATGTCTTTTGTTCTTCAGTCTTCCCCGTTTGAGCCTTTATTATGTGATTTTGATTAAAGACTTATTTTTGTTACCTACTTTTCTATTGCATGTTGCCGGACCATTGACAGTAAGGTTGTGTTTGACTAAGCTCAAGGTCACGGCGTGGTTCATTTTGTGACTGTTAACCTTCTGACTGTCTGCTTAGGAGAATTGCTGCAATCCCTGCAGATAGATATTTGATCCCATCTTATTGGGAATATTTGTATTGATTCTCAGGTATCAAACCCTTTAGTATTAACTGTCTCTTTCATTGTTTAGCGCGCTACTTTGCGTTAGAGAAACTTCTGACTGTATAGCACAGGCTGTACCGTTTGAGGTATTTTGTATTTTTGATGTAATTTGTTCTGTTCTTAATTAGAACCGTTTATATTGAGCACAGAGTTTGTGTTTTGATATAATATAATACGAGTATCTCAAAGACGCGTTGTGAGCTATACAGAGGAACTTGGTCTGGTCTAATCGAATAAATTTTGGGTTCGTCAGTCCGTTGTTCCAACCGAATATTGGCTGTTCGGTCGTTACACTGATGGTGAAGTGAAGCTTGGGAACCGAAGATGACTGTCCCAAATGTGCAGTCAAAGCACGTGGCTCCATTATGCCACTTTTCAAGACAGATCCTCCTGTGTCTCGAAACTTGAAACTTTGCCAGACGCCCCCTCCAAAGTGCTATAAATCCCGAAGAAACAACAAATTTGGTCATTAGACTGAAGGATAGAAACTGTGGGTACTAACCTTATCATTATTGACCATACCCTCTAGGTTAGGAAGGGAAAGATCCTCTCGCTAAGGGCATACGGAATACTTTAAACGAAACGTCGTATTCGGACATTAACGTTACACTAACAGCTTAGGTTGACTAGTTAAGATTTGATCAATAACTAAGTATAAGTCAAAATAATAGAGTTCACGTATCCATTAACTTCCTTATTTTGTATAGGCATTATATTTCCTATTATCTTATATTGAATGTTGATAAGCTTTGTCTGTCTGAACAGGTAATCCCACGCTCCACTGTGACTGCGCGAAGATCTAAATAAAGACCTATTCACTACTAGTCTGGGTTCTTCCTTTAAGAGCACGAGAGTTACCTATAGGCACGAAACTGGTGAGCTGTGTTGAATACAGATTAAACTTCATGCTTTTTATTATTTTTTTACTTAGTCGTAAAACTAGACCTTTTGATTATTCTTAACCAAAGTTCGGTAAGTATATATTGACACGTAGTTTTTTTATCTTAAGGTAAACACTTCATAACTCATCAAATAACAAATATCCGGATAATATCACTTTTATATTTGCTGGGCTTTACACAGATTATGTACTTATTAGGGTCGCAGTTCTATATCTCACATTTCGTCCGCTACAAATACTAGTAGGAGTCCCCTACACCAAATGATCTACTGTCATCCTCCTTTCATTTGCCGTTTCTTACCCTTGCCCACTCATTTGTTTTTTTATTTGTATTTATCTACCTATGTGGTATGGTTCTCAGCTTCTCGCTTCTCTAATTTGTGAATTACTCACACTACCAACAACTGGTCAATCATTTTGTAACTCGATTGCTGCTTGTTCTTGCAAACCTTGAAATAGCTACCGAATTTTCTAGGATTTGTATCATAAAGTAGCTACACTTTCCATATTAGTCCATACCTAAAAACTTCATCTGTACCTTCACAGAAAGAAGTATCAGAAAAGAAGCTAATTTAAGTGTGTCATTGTCATTCCTGTATATAAGTGACGTTACTAACCTCCAATCATCATCGCTTTTGTTATATACTGACGATATTAAGATACGGAAAATGATTAAAAAGGTGATTGCCTACAGATTCGAAACACTTTGAAAAAATTATCTGGAGTTCGATAGTTGCTGATATATTCTTCTGAGTACACTGTGATGCTTACTGGCCACAAGTGTACCGATAACTACAGTGTGGATGACATAGAGCAACCAATTATCTAGACACATATAGTGGCCTAGTTAAGACTTGAAAACTATCTCAAAACCCTATGGTCAATACGTAGAGCTCATAGCCATGTTGATGCTAAAACCTCCATGAATTCTTGTATAGTATTCGGTTCTCCTAAACGCCAGTATTGCAAATAGCAACGAACCCCTACCTAAAAATTACAGTAGGTTTTTGGGAAAGGTTCGAAGATCATCAGTCAAACTGGGCTTCTGAGTCGAGACGCTGTCCTTTGGTGATTAGCTTACTTACATATTGATAAATTTGTAATTGATAGGCATTCGTTCTTCCTGTTTCCGATGACATAATATTTACGTGCACACCCCAAGAAAGGTCCTCAAGATGTTAAAAACTTATTTTTTAACTGGCTTTCGACTCCCATCGAATCATTCACAGACGTAACTCTACCTCAACACATGTTTAAAGCTCCATCAGAAGAACTTTATATCAGATGAGTTACGGTTATTTCCATGACTAACACAAATCACCCAGTCTCCTGTTTTTTCCGAACTTATTGAACGCGCGCTATCTAAAAAGGACAGTGGTATTGTTTCTCGTTGAATTAGTTAACTGTTTTGATCATAAATTACGTATCAAAACTACGATTTACACTTTAATTGAATCTACTACAGTTAAAGTGATATTCTATTGAGCTTTTTGGCTTTTATGTATTTATTACATTCGAAAGCATTCTTGGTCTGTACGCTAGTAGATACTAGTATATCAGTTGAAGAACCATGGTCTGTATTTAAAGGTAAATTTAGGCTAGTTACGTCCCCGTTCATACCATACCTGACACCGCGAAGACCAAATAACAGTCCACCATGGATAACTAAAACGGTCAGGACACTCCTTAGAAAATGCAAGAGTCACTGGAATATTTTCATCTCTACTGGCTTAGAACAATACAGATCCAGTTATTGTAAGATTAGGAACGCCTGTAAAGCGTTAATAAGCAAGACTAGACATTCATACGAAAAAAATTGGTTGGGGATTCTAGATATAGTCCGAAACGGTTATTCTCGTATATAAAAAGGCGAACTAAGAGAAGCGATGGAATTCCATCACTTTTGATACGAGATAATCCGTTAATCTTAGCAGAGAATGGTGCCGAAAAAGCTGAAGCTTCATCGGAATATTATAGTAAAGTGTTTTCTATCGGTAATGAGGAACGACCAACGATTCATCGCGACCGTGACGGCTCGCTGATGGATTCTGTAGTCATTGAGAAAGGTACTATTTTAAGGCTACTTCAGCATCTCAAACCTGATAAGTTCAGTGGTCCTGATGACATTCATCCTAGGATTATGAAAGCCATATCAGATGAAATTGCTGAACCATTAGCGAACTGTTCGACATGTCTCTGAGACAGTCCAGACATCCTAGAGACCGGAAATACGCCATAATAAGTCCGGTGTATAAGGCTGGAAGTAGGGATTTAGTTAGTAACTATACACCCGTTAGCTTAACTAGTGCAGTTGTGAAACTGATGGAGAAAATCATTCGGATAGCTGTTATAAACTATGTTGAAGGGCAAAATCTTTTCTCCAGGGCACAACATGGTTTTCGGAAAGGCCTATCTTGCTTGACAAATCTTCTCATTGCACGAGAAGATTGGGCTGCGGCAAAGGATCGTAATGCTCCTGTGGATGCGATTTTCATAGATCTAAGTAAGGCCCTCGATAAGGTCTCCCACTCTGGTCTCAAATTCAAACTGGAACGTTTGGGAATCCATCATACAGTTGTAGATTGGATAAGTAACTTTCTCCATGACAGGAGGCAAAGGGTAAGGGGTAATGGAGCGCTCTCCTCGTGGGTACCTATAAAAAGTAGAGTTCCTGAAGGTACGATCCTTGGTCCACTTTTCTTTTTACTTCATGTAACTGAAATACCAACTGTAGCAAAATCATCCGTTCTAATCTTCGCCGATGACATAAAAATTGGGAGACCCGTACACAGTATGTCGGACAGAATAGTATTACAGGACGATCTTAGCTCATTGGTGGGATGGTCAGACAGGTAGTCACTAGAAGTAAATCCTAATAAGATTGTAGTGATGCAGTTAAATAACTCTGATGAATCGTATGACTATACACTACGTGGATTCGTGCTACCCAAAGCAAGAAACTATAGAGACTTAGGAGTTATATTAAGCAATGATCTCAAAACGACTAGCCACTGTAAGGCTGCTGCTGCAAAAGGCTATAGGGTATTATGGTCAATTCGTAGGTCTTTTCAGTATTTAGATGATGAAATGTTTGGATTGCTATACCCGATTTATGTGCGACCACATTTAGAATACGGGATTCAAGCAGCGTGTCCTTGTTTCAAGTATGAAGCAGATATGCTAGAAAGAGTCCAACGATGAGCTACCAAGATGGTGCAAGGTCTATCTGGCCTATCTTATGAAGACAGATTGAGACACCTTAACTTATTTCCATTATCTTACCGTAGAATACGGGGTGATCTAATATTGGCCTATCGTATACTGAACGATGACCTTGGTATTAACATGTCTTATCTTTTGCTTCCGTCTAGAACCGATCATTTGAGAGGACATTCGAAGAAAGTTCAAAAACCGAGATCAAACCGTTTACGTCTGGAGTTCCGTTTCTCGCACCGAGTAGTGAATTACTAGAATTCTCTACCGGAACACGTAATATCAGCACCGTCTGTTAATATATTCAAAACGAGGTTGGACCTCCACAGTATTACAAACTGCAAGAATTAATATAGGTCGATAGACCTCCTGTCCCTATTACTGAAGACTGAATATTGTGTGACCTCTGAAGGTCGAACACATTTTAAGGTTGGTGTAACATCACTCTCAACTCTTTTTTCCTGAGCTACTTTGTCTTCATAAAAGTGAATTAATAGGGGATATTGCTACTTTAACAAAGATCGTTTGTTAGATCTGAGGGAGTTGTGGGATTGTAAGATTCAGATTTGTGTAGTAAGGACAGAAGGCATACGGCCTATGTTATTCCTTTTCTAGTATGCTTCTGTGAGTCTTCAGTCTTCAGTAATAAGGATAGTAGGTTGATGAACCTGTGTTAATCCTGACACATTGCTTTCCAGTGAAGGTCCAGCTTTTCCTTGAAAGTATTCACTGATGGGGCTGATACCACTTGTTCGGGTAAGGCGTTCCAATGATTGACTACTCGATGAGAAAAACGGGATCCCACTTTAAGTTTATTAGATCGTGGTTTATGAACCTTCTTGCTATGACCTCGGAGATTATTAGTGCTGGAGGGAGCAAAAAGATAAGACATATTAACACCCAAATCATAATTAAAGATACGAAATGCCAGTATAAGGTCACCTCGTGTCCTACGATACGATAAGAGTGTCCAGTGTTTTCTTGAAAGAGTCAATTGAAGGTGCGGAAACCACTGCTTCGGGCAGCAGGTCTCAAGTATTGATGACTCAGTGTGAAAACCTGTATGCCGCGGCATATCCGCGCGCGAGTATTTCGTTCGTCCTTGGCTTTTCTACTCGCCTGCTTAGTCCTCACTGTAGTGAACATGGTAGTGTCTAACTTAGTGAATGTCCGTTTTAAAGCCCAAAGGGTTCTAAACCTCTTAGCTGCGATCTCCCGGTAATGGGCCGTCGTCTTAATACCATGACTCACTGTCACCCCTAGATCCTTATGAGACCGAACTACGGGTAATGGCACATCCCCTATGTTGTAACTATCAACCTTTGAATCCCCAAAGTGCAGGTAGACACTTTTCCGCGTTGATAGGCACCAGCCACTCTTTAGATCAGTTCATCATGTTATTTAAGTCTGCCTGAAGAGCACATGCGTCTTTGTCTTCAGTTATTACTCGCCAGATTTTTACATCGTCAGCGTATAATAGCATTGGAGACTGAACTGTGCTTGGAAGATCATTAACATACATTATAAAAAGTGAAGGACCTAGGACGGAACCTTGAGGTACCCCGGTACCGGTCTCCAGATGGAGCACCTGGAGTTTATTCTTACTTTCTGTCTACGACCTACTAGGAAATCCTTAATCCATCTTAAAAGAGGTCCGGCAATTCCAAGGTTTTCCAACTTCAATAGCAGTCTGTTAGGTGGCACCTTGTCAAAAGCCTTGCTGAATTAGTTACTTTTTTCCTCAAAATCTATCAGTCACGCACATTTTATACGACCTCAAGTCAAAATTCCTCGTCCATACAGTGTAGTCTCGCCGTACACTAGTTATACTCCTTCTTGTTAACTCGGTTAACTAGAGTTGATTACAATTATTTTTTGTAAGCGGCCCAATCACTTGTGAAATTATCTTGACGGCTAGTGCCGTTCCGCGCACCTATTTGAGTTTTGCTCCATTTGTATTTGGAGATTTATATAACAATACCCTTTTTAATAAGCAACGTGCAGCACGCAACCACATACTTTCGTGCGAAATTGTGTTGTGCTTTATCAAACTTTGATCTCACGTAGTCTACATCATCATGGCCTTTGTTTCAGATTTATGCATTCAGGACTGTAAAACTGCGCGTCAGAGAGCAGACACTCAGATAAAGTCATGCTATTTCTGTCAACGAAAAATAGGCTTTGCCCTCGTTAGAACACCTGTTCTATATCTCCCATTATATGACCGGTATTTTTTCACAGCGTTATGAAAATCAAAGGCAATTAATGATGGATTTCAGACTACGATAACTAACGACATGACATGGGATGGGTCAGTAAGCTCATTTTAGATTTGCTTGGAAATCGGATATCCACATATACTTATTCCATGAAGAAACAAACAAGGTGTAATTTTGATTTCCATTTACAATTAGAATCTAACTTATTTGACAGAACCTAGTAAGCCTGTCAATCTTTCTTTTATATATTACCACCTCTGGATTAACTACTTTTATGAATCCGGTGTCCATCTTGTTGTGTTAATGAGGTATGGCAACGTGGACCGATGCATATATGTGCCTGGTCCTACGTTGTAGCTGACTGACTGAAGCCTGTCAATCTACTCAACCCCTTTGTGTGTCGGTTTGCGCCCAATTTACTGACTACGTCGTGTATGACTAGTGTTTTGAAGGCTGTATTAGCCAAAACACTTCGTCTCCTACCTTCCTTAGTCATGTAGTGAAGTACATACCGACTCACTCGCATTAAACTTGGTACATAGTGGTGTTAATAGTTCTCTCTTCCATTAAGCATAAAATGACTTGTCAGTACCATTACGGGTGTTTCCATAGATCACCAAATCCAATGTAGCTCACAAGTTGATGATATCTGCCTGTTCAAAGTATTTTAATATAAAATTATCCTTCTCAGTACCGTTAATCTATACACTTCATTCTAAATCAAGTGTGCTTTTTAAGTGGAAGACGGTTTCAAACTTATGATTTCATGTTGTTAAACTTTCCATTTGCCAAAACTATTTTAGTTATGTGCTTTAAGTCAATTAGTGGATCGAATTTAGAGAACAATGACTGAAAAAGAGATGCGAGACTTTAGAATTGCCCATATAACGAGATTAGACCTCACAAATGACTTTCCTTGATTGAACTCTTGATCACGCATTTTCGAGAACAGACTTTTTAAACATTCTACGTAATTATTCGGGACGCCTAAGAAGACATTGCTAGTAAACTATAATGTATCTTCCATTATAGACGTCATAAGTTCTAGATACTCTACAAAATCGCCGAAATTCAACTAAGTGCATACGTTGCTCTTTCCCATAACTGATTAGTAACTAGTAGTGTTCCTTACTCCGCAGGTGACGTTAAGCAGTAACCAGTGGCGTAAATAGTTAAGTCGTACGTATTGTTCTGTATACTAAAAACATTCAAGCTACACTGACTAATCATCCACTTGGTATGACAGCCTACTTGTTATTACAACCATTTTAGTGAGTCATCTGCATTTATATAATTATAATCAAGAAGTGATACATTCTCTCATCCATCAAGGGCTGTGTGACTACGTAACTGTTCATTACGAAGTATGGTTGTCGTATGCTGCGTCAATCCAGGGGGGTGTAGTTTAAGTTGTCAATAAGTGGACTATGAATTAATGTACTTGAAATCACCCTCAAAACATCTACATTAAGCAGAGTCAGTGGTCTTTTCGAAATAAATATGACCCACAAATCACAAAAACAATATGCTCTGTATAGTTTCTTTGGGGAAATTATATTGTCTGCCTCGATCTCTAGGGCAAATAAACAGTTGGTCTTTACCAGACCCGTGCCAACATATTTGCAATAATCATTTACAATTAACAAACTACCTCGACATAAGTACTTTATTGACATTTTCCTAGATGAATTTATTTAAACCGCTGATTATAAAACCAAACGTCAGTGGTTTGATCAACAGTTTGTGTAGTAAAATGCGGTTACTCTCCATCCCACCATTAATACCGTCGGAGATACTATACCAGCGTGAAATAACACCTGCTAAGACACCAGCTCATCATAATAATTCAGAAATCGAAAAGCTGTTAAAAAGCGAACTATGTGATTACCCCGCATATTCCTCACGGAAAAGTAAATTCCGACATTGTTATTTATTTCCACATAGTTCGTCATGGATTTCAAGATGCTATCATGATTCGTGATTACAAGCGCAGACAAGTTTCTGCTCATTTCTGTAACTTACGCATCAGACTAAACGCTATCAGAAAAAACACGATTTTACCCCAGGAAATCAAGGTAAGTTAGTAATTACATCATTTTGTACTAGGATTTAGCAACGTCATATATTTCATCATTACCACGTGATAGCAACTGGACGCGCATTTTAAGCAGATGTATCGTTACTTCGAGGAGACGAGGGTGTAAAACACGTTGGAAAGTTTCACGTATTGTATGGAGAAAATATGCAGACTATAACAGAATGTCTGGAGTACTTTGGGCTCGCTGGGGATCAAATACTCGAAGTGTACGGAGACATATGTTATGGCCGCCTCCTAGAGAAACCCCTGTCTCTGAATATATACGTCGATATTACAAAAATTTGGCTGATGTATAAAATAAAATAAATTGATATAATAAAAGTTATGTATCTAATTTCGTGAGCCGCGACTTTTATTTTTTTGAATAATAAACGCGAAATTGATCTCTCATTTAGTGTTTATTGGTAAGTACAGTACATCAAAGCTCTGAAAGGACAAGAACCTCAAGTCGAAACTATCTCAAAGAATTCCTGGTGCGCAATGAGTAACTGCTTCGCACAGTAGCTGACTAAAGCAGATGTTTAGATAAAGAAATACAGATACCTTACAAACAGCAGTATCGATGGTTTTCGACTGCCTGGTAGCTGGTTTATTTAAACCATTATTTATGGTCAGCTTAGCTGAGGTGCACACATTATTTCCCGAATTCACGTAAGATAATGATGCTGAAGCGTCCAGTGAAGTAGCCAAATCATTCATACTCAACCTTGCGCTTTTCTCTGCGGAACGCTCATCAGAAATGAATAAACTTACCACTAACCGTCGGGTTTCTGTCCTTCTTTGGTGTTTTCCGTTTACCAGGTGAACCCATGTCCTGACTCCGTTCCATTGGTATGACTGGCTTTCCATGCAAGGAATTGTCTGCACTAACATCATCTCGCACATTCTGGTTAGTGTCGATGTCGTTCCCTACATCCAACACTGTTGTCCGCGCGTGATATTAGAATTGATCAAATTCACTTACCGTCTACCTCACTTATGATATTCGTATTGCTGCGGCTTGCCTTTCTCTTTTCAGTTGAGGTAGTGGGACTCACAATAACATTCTTGACTTCATAGCCTAGGAGGAATATGGATTGCAGATCAATAGGCGAAACTTACCACTAGCCGTCGGGGTTCTGTCCTTTTTTGGTGTTTTCCGTTTACCAGGTGAACCCATGTCCTGGCTCCGTTCCATTGGTATGACTGGCTTTCCATGCAAGGAATTGTCTGCACTAACATCATCTCGCACATTCTGGTTAGTGTCGATGTCGTTCCCTACATCCAACACTTGTCCGCGCGTGATATTAGAATTGATCAACTTACCGTTTATCTCACCGTCTGCATCCTCAATGTTATTACATTCACCGTTCAATTTCATCTTCTTAGATGGTCTGCTGAACCCATAATCTGTTTGGATAGAAAATCTAATTAAATCTGTATGCTCTAGTTTACCAGCCTGAACCTTCTCTTCCCAATCAGAAATCGTGCGCTTTCTATCATTTTTATCCATTAGTCTTCGCTTAGATCCTGATGTGATATCTGTATCCCGCTGTGTATTTGGACTGCTCGGGTTTCCCGGTTTCTCAAGTGAATATAACGAGAACTGATTAGCCTCTTCATCCAATTCTTAACAGTGGTTTACAACAATGCTTTTTAAACTAACCTGTAACTATATCTGTACAAACGTCACCCCCTATTGGTAAAGCAGATGGATGGGGTTTTCTGGCAATCTTCTTTTCTCGAAAGTGCTCCTTCGATTCTTTATGGTGATGAATGTTTTGTTTCTTACACTGTTGTTTAGTACAAAGATAAAAAGCACTTACGTTAACCTGTTCTCCACCATCAGAATTTGTAGATTGACCAAGCAGTGTTGCCAAGGTAGATAGGTCAAAAGAGTTCAAAAGTACCTGTATTTTGTCTGCTACTGTGCAACCTCTCCAGTATGTTTTTTTTATATTTGTCCGGATTCTTAAACCTATCCAGTCCAAAACGGAATTTGGATCCAAATATCTACCTAGTTGCTTTGTAACTATATTTTTTTCTCATCGTACCTACCTCATAAGTGGGCTTCGGGATGTGAGAAAAGTTAAGATCCAGCCATTTATGAAGCATGAGAATTCTGATGGCATACTCATGACGTTTATAAGTCGACTTGTCTAGAGAAAATACTCGTCTACAGAGATAAAATAAAGGTGAGTTTACTTTGCCACGAACTCTCCAAACTCAGGAACAAGAGCAATGGTGTTCATTTGTAGAAGTACGTCAACTAGATAAATAGTTTCACCTGAAAGTGTGAACTCCACCATACAGAGATCTTTTGAGTTGAACAAGTCAGGATTTTTTTGCGAGTTATTTTTATGAAGCAACACTCTGGAATCGAGAAATGAAGCTAGAAGGGATGTCCAGGTCATATAGTTATCGGATCTACATAACTTGAATTAATAATAAATATTAACTGAAAGTCTTACAGGACACTCATGGAAGGAATGTGAATAATAAATGGGGAGTACGTTGTAAAGATAATCATTAATTGTCCTAAGAAAGTATTGTTTATAAAAATCAGAAGTTACTGGGCATTTTCTGCATCAATGCGAACACGACTCCAACTACAAAAATAAGTTATTATTTCAATGTGATTATTACAAACAAGCCCAAGCGATTATTTATAATTGACTCAATTATTCTCATTAACTACAGACAATAGAAGTGAAGTAATCCAACTGCAGTGACACAAATAAGAGCTAATTGATGGCATTATGCCTAAGATAACCCACAGTACATCAGACCAACCACAGGTACGGAAAACAAGTCAACCTGACAAACTTCTCATATTGGTTCCTGATTAGCCCCAAAAACAAACCAAGTACCATTCAAAACTAGAACATTCAGGTCAAAATGCAAAACTACCGGTAGAAAGACTTGGTGATAACTTATACAAACAACTAAGTATTAGCCCCCAAATGCCCTGGTACGGTCGAGAGTGGGAAGAGTCCACTCTCCTTCTCCAAGTGCTCTTACATGGCAACGCGCATACAGCTACTGCCAGAGAAGCCCTACCCACTGCCTTCTCGCGGCATTACTATTGTTTACGAAATTGAGAGGACAAGAAGCGAATGTTCAGCGCCTTGACCGGGTTGGTGGATATGGGGGATCCACCTAGAGGAGTTGGGGAACCCTGACTTTAAACCAATGGTACACATGAGCTGCAGGATCCCAAAGGAACAAATGGCATATAAACACATTATTGGTTACCGACTACCATGGAACTGCACCTCCTGACGTTGCTCCACTGCCTTGTGAATCAAACCTTTAGGTCGAAGGCCCTGGGCGTAGCTCCATAAGAAAATCACCTGCTGTAGTCTAGGCACCCTGACAGTGTCATAGCCCACTCACAAATCAAGGGAGTTGTGTGGCACATATGTATTTGGTACCCCTTTGTACTAATATTTGTGTTCAAAAAAATAACTGTCAACATTATTGGCAGTTAAGCCAACCTATTTCTCAGAAAATTTTGATTATTTTTGGAGAACCCGAATTTCCGCATATCTGTGTATTTTTAGTACAATAGGTAATAAACATAATATGTTCCTTCATTGAGTGATATCTATGTACTCAGCCCCGCCTGTTTTTTTACGTTTATCAAACGAAAAGCAGATTCGCACTTCACTCACATAAGGTTACCCGAAAACATAGTAATTACAAAAACAGCATTTTTTGTGCCACATTGTCAAGCTTGGTTAAAGTGTGTTGAAATAACTATTGCTTACGAGAAAATATGCATTTTGTCCTCAAAAATAATAAGTGGTTAAATTCTTTGCCATCTATATTTCTGTCGAGGTCTGGTTTATGACACCAGTTGATCACTACAGCATAATCATATTGTTCGTCGACCCATTCAAACCCTTAGATCTGGGACAAAAACAACCGATTGAGCACACTTTCGTTAAAATACAGCACAAAACAGAAGTTTTCTAGGTCTGTAAATATACAGGCTAATTAATTTACACATATCATGACATCTAGATATCGTGATATGTGCAACGATGTTTAAATGCATTTGCAATCTACTCAGAAATAATATCCAAGTCTGGAAAGGAGGAGTACTAACTTTTCAATTTTAACTATAAGATTGTGCTGAGTATCCAAGTCACCACTAACGAACGAATGCCTCAAACCTGACAAAACACAGTCCATCAGCTATATTCAAAAGTAAGTGACGTCCTTGCATATAGACTTCTATAAAGTGAAACAATTTCAGTTGTGAATAAATGTGTAGAAAATAGTTTCTTTCAGTCGAATAAAGATATGAAGGGTGAGTTAACACGTGTTCGGAGCCCTACACTACCGGCTTTTGGTTAAGATTGTTGGACTGTCTTGACTTAGCTCAGGTGTTACTGCTAAGTGTTGTCTACTGTTTTCTTTATTAGGCGTGGGCTTTCTGAGACTTTAAAAAACTTTTCCCTTTGTTCTTCACTTTTCTGGCTTTACTGAAGTGCGCTACCCTGCACATTCCCAAGATAATTTCGGGATAGACTCAAACCAATACATGTTACACTCTTCAATTAACCTATTTTTATAGATATACAAAAGAACCAGAGTTGACATGATCACAGTTTTTAAGTTACCTTGTGATAATTTTTGTCTGGTATACCTTCACTTTTCTTTTATTCGAAAACACCGAAAAAGTTCACAAGCCTAGAACAAATTATTTATCAGCTGACTATCGACTTTCCCACCGAATCTTCAACTAATAGGATTCATTACCTCAAAGTGTGATTGAAGCTCTGTCTGTTAGCATTTCCAAAAAATGCGAATCGACTGAGAGAGCACCATTTTCAGGACTAACGCAATGAACTTAGCGTCCTTTCTTTTCCAAACTGAAACCAACATATGAAGTTATTTTTTACATGCTTGTATCTTGATCGTGAATAAAAGTACTTTGCCATCGATAGAACAGAGCCCAAGATGCCGTTGTTGTCAGTCGGATGGAAGCCTCTTACATGAGAATCAACCTTTTCTTCGGTTAACTATCCAATACACCAACGAGCTGCGACACAAACATGGAATTTCATTAATATCTAACAACCAACGAAGTCCAACAAATTCTGGGAGAAAAGTGAGGTTCCCAGAACACCTAGGAAGCCAATATGACTAGAACATTTTTGCTGAATTTTTATTTCATTCTCACTCGTTCACGGAGTCTAACAATTTGGTTGCTTTTTCCTTTGCAAATGAGTATCAAAAAAAGCAGATAAGCAATTGAAATAGACAAAGAATGAAGATTGGTGCAGAATGATATGAATCCATTTCATTCAGTTAGGTTCTCATCAGCTGCTTACAACCTATAAGATTTTGTGATCAATGTTATTACAGATGTGGACATACTTACATACCTATTCACTACTAGTCTGGTTTCTTCTATCAATAGCACGAGAGTTACCTACTTGCACGAAACTTATACAGAGTGACTAAAAATGGATATGTGTATCACGACCTAACGAAGATTTCAATACATAAGAAGGTCATAAAAATGCGTTTCGAATAAATAAAGTTTGGAAATGTTTCAGTGTACTAATTGCCTTTGAAATATTCTGTACATTGAAGTCTACATTAGTAACTGACTCAGAAGTTATGATATTTATCTTTTACTGGAGTTACTGGCCATAATTTGAAACTGGATGAGTAAAGAGCCCGTTTAAATAAATAGGATATCTGAGTATATAGTGATTATTAAGTACTAACCGGGTAATACTAGGATCAGACTGTGGGTATATCATGTATTTCAGATATAAGGTGTTCCGATATAGCATGAGAGAGTGACTATCAATTGAATGTTTACATCTCATTTAGTATAATCAAAGGTGAAGACGCGTCAATGTCAATCGCTGGGGGCTTATATAAGATATGTAGGAAACGAAGTCCTCGATAGGTATATATTAATTGGTAAGGGTCCGTCAAAATTATTTTCCCGGGGTAAAACGTACCTGATATGCAATAAAGGATGATAAACTCTGTCTAATACACGCTGCAAATGAACACGTCAAAAACATCCTAAACCATGTGAAAAAATGTTATCACTTTCATGATACATCACCTTGACACAGGAAATGAAGTTGATGCACTGAAGTCTTTCAAAGCGATTAACTAACAATCAAACCCCAACCTTTTAAAATTGGTTCAACAGATAACAATCAAACGTCTAAAACTGGATCTATGTGCCCATAAAGAAATAGTAGTAAGTCTTTCTTTATCCTAGTAGCAGTACACCAACTTTTATTTTTTACATCACTCATTATTTCAACTCTTTCTGGAGCTTAATTACATCATTGTCGTTTTCCTTCAATTCATGTCCTTCTTTATTACCATTAATATGTTGTCAGTTTCTTCATTACACAATCATCAAATGTTTGTTAACGACATGAGTTCTAATCACTATTCCAATGTTCTGGAACTTTCCCTCCCAAACTTTATTTATTCGAAACGCATTTTTATGACCTTCTTATGTATTGAAATCTTCGTTAGGTCGTGATACACATATCCATTTTTAGTCACTCTGTATAAGTTTCGTGCAAGTAGGTAACTCTCGTGCTATTGATAGAAGAAACCAGACTAGTAGTGAATAGGTATGTAAGTATGTCCACATCTGTAATAACATTGATTACAAAATCTTATAGGTTGTAAGCAGCTGATGAGAACCTAACTGAATGAAATGGATTTGTAGTGGCATTAGACCATGACCACACAATCTTCAAAGCTGTGAACACGAGACTACTCAGAAAATAGATATTCACTATTTAACTCGGGGAAATACCTAACGATGGAGAAGGCGCGAAGAATGAATTGAATGGACTGGAGTCGATCGAGTGGCATGGCTCGGCCATGCAGGCGTGGTCTCTGCTGAATATTACCTTATATCTTTTATTCATATTAAATATATTGTTCTTTCTCTAGCCTAAGCTTGTTCTTCATGTATTGGTAGTTGTTACGATACGGTGAGTTGGTGTAGTCGATGGTGTGACTTCCACGTGAGATCTTATAGATTAGGCAGTTATATCATGACAAATCTACAAATTTAGGATTAGGTCTATTATTAGAGCAGTACTAATATCATAGTAGACAATAATTCTACAGATTCATATAATTCTAAACCAATCTTCGTTCTTGCTCTTTTTTATTTGGTCAGTTGTAATCTTTAACATTAATTTAGAGCACAAAAAATGAATTACAGATAACTATTATTATTATTCACAAACATCTTATAATTACATAATTGTTTTGGAGAAACCATTATGAGTTTCTCCAAAAATGAAATATTACACAAGTTTCGATGATGTTAGCATTATATTCGCCGTATTTGAAAAAGAGAATAGTAATAATAGAATAATAATAATAAACCAGGTTCCGTGTAACTGAGAAGAATATTAAATTGAGTTTAAAGAGGGAAAGGAAGAAAGTAAGGAAATGGAAATAAAGGAGATGTGAAATACGCATATAGCTTAATAGGCGTGTTTATGAACACGGAACAAGAATAAACGACTATATACTGGTACTGGTTTGTAAGAAACGACAAAAGTCAACCTGTAAAGGAGTAGGTAATTCCAAGAGACCTCATGTTGTCGTTTTTACAGTGTGCGGCACTTTATCAAGTGCTTTTTTAGACCAAAATATCTCTCCTTGCTTAGTGTTTCGAAAAACCGCTCAAAACGTCTATCAGACGTAAATTGGATAGCTTATCTTTTAGGATCTCCCGTTACAGAGGATTCGTTAGGTCTTCAAATAAAAGTGCCACATTCAATTTTTTCCTATTTCCTTCTTTATTCGTATAACAAAATAAGTTATATTTATCTATCTATTATTCTGGATTAGATTCTTCAGTGTTTGAGGCCCTCGGAATTTCCCTCTTAAGTTTCCGAATATGCTCTTTTTCTTAAGAGTAGGAAAAATACTTGAGAAGTATTGTTTGTATGTCTTGCCTCATCTTTTTATGAAGAGCTGGTGGGATGTCATAAGTACTTTCAATTGCGCCAGATTTAAGAATTTTGACAGAATTGATGACGTTGCTGACGTTAAATTCCCTGCTGCCACATCAAACAGACGACCTCCGAGAAACTAGCCAGAATAACGACAATTTTTGGGGTTCGTGTGTGTTTTTTAAAACATAGTTAATGATAGCCTATCGCTTTTGAAGATAATACTAGCCAGATTTATCTTTACAACCCGTTTTGATGGTGACTCAGTGGTGCGGTACCTGCAGGGCACCAGTTTCTTGGGATATAGGGATTTTTGCAATCGTGGGCAGGATGATTGAAGAAACCTGAGGGAGGATGTCACTTTACGCCGCAGAGGACAATGAACAGAAACCCCCTACGGCACTGTACATTTCTTTCCAGCTCTAAGTCATCACTACAGAAGTAGGGTCCTAGTGACTGAATGAGTTGCGGGCACCCACGTCACAATTACTGCTGCTCTGGAAGATGTAACCCATGATTCCAAACTCAAGAACGAGAATTTAGACATGTATCAAGCATTCTCAAAGTTCAAACGCAAGTTAGAACAAAACTATCCTTACCATTCCAATTTATTTCAAAATAATGATGTGACTTCAACGTAAGATCTTTTAGATTAGGCAGTCATTTCATGACAAATCTACAATTTTAGGATAAGGGCTATTATTAGAGCAGTAATAATATCATAGTGGACCATAATTCTACAACACTACTTATCACCTTATGGTAGTTTTATGCCAATCCCTAAAAGTCATCTTCTTAGCCAGTTTAATACATAGATACTCTTTAGAATTAAGGGCTTTGCCTAGAATAATTTGGGTCTTGTAAATGATACAGATAGCTCTACACACTAGGAGCTAATGCATAAAATGTTCATTTAGAAAAGCAAACAGTGCCGATATAATCATCTGTCGTTCAAAAAGTCTTTAGAAAGTAATTAATAGTTTTTATATGAATTCTTGAACAAAAAAGCACGCAGCACATCGCCATACATCCTAGATCATGAGTCTTAAGCAGTACACAGTCTCAACATGAGGTCGTTAAGATACCAGCTAGGGAAATCCGTTTTGACCATTCTCAGTTCGCGGTACCTCACTCCTGTGGCTCCTGTTCTATTCTTTCCCATATTGACAAGAGCGACGTTAAGTTAGAACCTCTCAAACTTAAAGAGCTTCTGGGGCTCTAGGA